TGTGCAGGCTGAAAGGTGAATTCCAGCCGTCTGACTGTCAGCGACACCGACAATAATTCAGTGCTTGTTAGGTCACATAAATGGTCCCAACGACACAATGCCGACAGTAACTTCAAAGGTGACCTCACAAAAATTCACGTGAACCTAACAGTGCAAGTCGTGACCGTTCTAGGCGGACGGTGTCTTAGCAGACATCAAAGACGTAATTCAGCAGGCGCTTCTCATATGAATATCGTGCGTTTCACTGTCAACCAAAATCTTCAATTCTAGCTTTGAAACATGAACTGCATTTGTGATTTTGATTTTGCTCTGCAAACGTCATGTCGTCTTCTTCCCTTACAGGGAATTTAACTAATGTTTGCATCACCAGGACGTCGTTTGGGGTTCAAATATATCTGCGATAGTTGCTCACCATATTGTCTGATCCATTAATACAGTTTTTTTGTGAAATCCTAGTGTATGGTGTAGTACCAGCCCAGATGTCACAGGTGTGGACGCGGTAGTCCAGCCATCTCAGCCACTGTTGCCTATCTCAGTATCGACCGCCTGACCGGCCAGGACAATCCACGACTGCACTGGAGAAGAAAGCCACCACATGGCAGACCCTGAGGGCACCAACCCCATGGCACTTTAGGGTAGACTTCATTGTGTAAATCAGGTGGTACCGGCAACGACAAATGAGACCATAATGGCCATTTCCGGCTTATTAGCCGTCATCAGCCAGTCACAGCCGACCCCAAATGTGGATCACTTGAGGTTCGAACCCGGGATCTTTGGTTATGGGGTTTTACGCTCTACCCTAGAGCCACGGGCCCGTTGTCCTATCGGTTGTAACCGGAAATTTCAATTATGACAATGGGGGCCCACCGATCAGGTTACGGAACATGCTCGTTCCGTTGTGTTTTGGGGCTCACACTAGAACCCTCGCAGGCAGTCGCACAGCGACTAGTAGTAGATGTAAATCAGATGGTGCCGACAAAGACAAGGCAGACCGGAACAGGACAACGAGACGGTGGCTCAATGGTAGAGTGTAAAACTCCATGACCAAAGATCCCGAGTTCGAACCTCAAGTGATCCACACTTGAAGTTGGGTATGACTGGCTGATGACGTCTAATAAACCAGAAATGGCCATCCCAGTCTCCCTTGTCTTTGTCGGTACCACCTAATTTACATCTACATCTACTACTAGTCACTGTGCGACTGCCTGCGAGGGTTCTAATGTGAGCCCCAAGGCACAACGGAACGAGCATGTTCCGCAACCTGATCGGTGAGCGCTCACTGTCATAATACTTCACTGTATTAAATCTGCCGCGTTTGAAACAACTACTGCGTGCTACACCTCGTGTCACGGATGGCTGTCCGCTGACAATGCAACACACCTCGTAGATGATCCTGTGTCGTTTTATGTGGACTTATCGACTGATGGAGCGTAGGCCAAACTCAGTACCGCCTTAATCGGTCCAACCAGCGAACTCACTTTTGCTTAAAAACTTCAAGTTGTGCTAAGTGGGTAGTGCAGACGGCTTGTTTAGCTTTGTCAGCTGCGTCTGTCTAATCCCCGCACCAGATGATGTTTTGCTAATGGGCTTAGTAGACCTACATGTGAAAAACTAGGGAGCAACGACATGCGATATCTGGTAGGCGATAGTTATTAAAAGTTTCGGTCGGATGCGATTAAGTAGCCCCACCTAAAGTAAACAAACCCCAGTCACTTCCAATAGAGGAGCGGTAATAAAAGGGATTTTTACAGTTGGCCGGGTCACGCATAGGCGACGAGGTCAAGTAGTTGTATGCAAAAGAAAAGCTATTGGGAATGTGCGGTTGTACTCTGAATGGTTGAGAAATAATTGCGCTTACCCCTAACACTAACCCTAACCCCTAACTGTAACCCCTAATTTCAAACCCCTAACCCTAGCCCTTAACCCTATCCCCAATCCTAACCCATAACCCTAACCCTTAACACTAATCCCAACAGTATTGTGTCCATCAGGTGGGTCCACAAAATCACATCTTACCAAAGTTTCACTCCGCATAGTTTAGATTAAGGAGATTCTCATGAGAATTCAGCAATCGCAGACCAGAAGTGATCGACAATCCACTACCTTCTCCGCTGCTCTGTCCTAAAATCAGTTGAAAATTCATTCGGCCTTTGGTTTTACCAGTGAGATAACTTAAATAATAAGGTAGGTTACATTATTCTATGAAAGGCCAACACGCAGAACGCGGACGGTAACGACCGCTTAGCGTTCAAACAATCGGACACCGGGCACACCCAATGTTCATAACCATCGTTCGAGCCTTCAATCTTCCTATTTTCTAAGATTTGCTTCTCTGTCGTCCGCAGACATCAATGTCCGTAAACTATTAGTTCCATTCCACAGTCATAATGTGTGACTTAGGCATGTACAGTACGTGACCGATATCATGAAATGTTAGCCAGAATTCTGAAGGGCGTTTTTGACTAGGAAGGATTACTGAGACTGGGTTGTAATAATGATTAGAACACAGCAAAATCCCCTGGCATTTCGGATTCGCCAGGATGTCGGCTTCTGAATGCATTTCTTTTTTACCTTCAGCAGAAACCACATTCGGTAAGAAATGACTACTTAAGTGACATGTATTTTTACTGCTGATTTTTGAATCTTATAAATCAGATATATTTTGTAGAAAACGTGACAAAAGTATGCTTTCTTTCACTCGTTTGATAGAGAATCACGCCAACCTCATATTTATACTCAAAGAAAGTGTATAATTGGGTTTTAAAAAGTTTCAAATAAATAGATTTTGAAGACCGGGCAAGGTCCGTGCATGTAGGACCGCACATGTCCGTTTACCAATGCTCCTCATGAAATGTACAACACAGTTCGGGTCCATTGCGAAATTTCTCCGAACTCTAGAAATACATCTTTTTCAGGTATAAAATATAAAAGCAATGTAATTTTCTACCGAACGAGCAAAAGATATTATATCTTCGGGCATGTTTTCTACAAAATGTATTTGAATTTATAAGGCCATCGGAAGTCAGTAGGAAAAGTGCATGTTATTAAGTAGTCATTTTTTACCGAGTGCGGTTTCTGCAGGAGGTGAAAAAGAAGTGCATGCAAAGGCCGACATCCTGGCGTGCCCGAAATATAGGATTATGCTGCCCGAAAATCAGTATCACAACCCCACCTAAGTAATCCTTCCCAATCGAAAACGCTTTCCAGAATTTCGACAAACATTTCATGGGATCGGTCACGCACTGTAGGTGAGGCAACTTAATACAGCTCATATAGTGACTCATGTAGAAGGGCAGGCTGCGTCAGGCGCTAGAACCTCCGAAGTTTGCTGCATATGGTCGCCATAAGTCAGTGCATTTGCGCATTTGTAAAGCTCTGTACTGTGCCAGTCTTCGGTCACACGCGACCCGGTTTGCGCACCACCCATGAGCTAATTACATGACCATGAAGTGGTCGGCTCGGATACCGTATGAGTGGGAGCGCAAAAGATGGGAACCAAGTTGGGGGGCCTTCAGAACTACGGCATTTGGCGCACTGTAGAAGTCCCAAATGAACTAGAGAATAACAACTGTGTTGGCTGAAGATGGAGGATAGCGGAGAAAAGCCCCATCGCCTGAAGAGAGACTCTCAAGTACCCATCTGCTATTTGACGTATTACCCGAAATTGAAAGGGATTGGGGTTGTAGAATCTTACCGGTTTCATAACCAGGTCGTGCTACGGTCAACCGAGCAAACGCTTTAAAAAGATTATTTGTGCAAGCACAATAACACCATCAACAAATGCAATGTAGGCCGAAATGGCAATTTCTGGCCCGTAAGCCGTCATCAGCCGGCCACACCTTATCGCACTTGTCGCTCGATTTCTCAACCTGGTAGTTGGAGGTCCAAAGCCCTAACTACTTAGCCACTAACCACTTAATCTAATGCTAGAACGTCAGGCTTAACGTGCAATTGTAGGTCATGGCTTGAACTCCAGGTCATCTAAACCCGAGACTAACGGGTTCAAATAAACCATAAGTGTTCATCCCAGCTACCCTTGTCTGTATCTATACTCCTTCTATACACATATTACTTGTTGCAATGCGACTGCCTGCAGGAACTCTAGACCGGAGTGCAAAGAGCAACGAGACGAGCACTTTCCGCACTGCAATTAAATCGGCCTCAAGCACACTCAGGTTGGCCGGGAAGACGGGTTACCTGGCTGTTGGCTACCCGGCGCGTCCACAGGTGACGGGTGGTAGGGCGGCTTTCAGTGAAGGTTAACTTCGAAATAAGCAAACTCAGGCCTGACGAATAAGTAGTTGCGGACCAGCTGCGACGATGCTGCTGGGGTGCCGAGGGCTGAGGTCTGGCATGCTGAAGGCCTTATAAAAAAGCTGCAAAACCTGATGACGGCACTGTAACATGGCGACCGTGAACCGCCATTCAATGAGTTTTCTTGCCGCCGCTGCCCTCTGGTTAGGCTCTTGAGCCAAAGCGCTAGAGGAGACGACCTAGAACAAACAATCCAAACGACTATTTGGGACCGCCTGCATTCAGAATTTCCAAAAAACCTCGTGAAATATGTCGGAGTACAGAATTACGACCCGTACTTCGGCGTCCGCAGGAACAGACGCTTTCCGCATTCTTGGTCTACTGGTGCTGGCGAATTGTATGCGAGCTGGACTACTCAGTCGGGGACGGACTCTTGGTATTTGATGCTGGAGTGTGCGAACGTTTCTTGACCCCGGTGCTCAAAGTCTGACCTCGCGCAGCCTTAATCAGTTCAGGTTGGATGTCTGATGTCTGTCTGAAGTTCAACTTTCTGACCCAGGCTCTCGAGAAATAAAGATGTCCGAAGTCGAAGTACACTTCACCCTGTATCTCAACGGCGCACGCGACTCTTCTAGTGGGCACGGTTTGGTGATCACCCTCTCCCAACAAGCGGACATCGCTCTACTTGCTTGAGAACCAGTCAACGAACGAAAGACCTAAGTGCGACTGAAGGGTCACTTCACGAACATTTTCATTGCCTCTGCGTATGCACCAACTTCAAGTGCCGAACAGCACGATAAAGAAGCGTTTTACTCGCAGCTGCAAGCTAAAAGTTGAAAGACTCCCTCGTTGAGATCTGCTGATTGTTGCCGCGACTCGGAACGGTCGGCCTGGACCTAACGACTCCACAAACAATCGTATTCTTGTACGCTTTGGACTAGGTTCTTGATGTGAAAATGACGAGAGGTTGCCAGAATTCGTTAATCAGAACCGACATCTGCTAACCTGGTATTTAAACGATACGACCAGCCAGATTAAGTCGATTTTAGTCGGTCCAAAGTTCCGCAGCTGGGTTCACGATAGCAGATCGATACGTGGTACCGAGACTGGTAACTCCCATGAGTCGATTCATGTCCTCGTTCGTACACGCTTAAAAGTTCACCTCTCACCCGCGCCATAAATGCCACGCCCTAGACGCCTTGTTGTCAGAAAAAAATGGACAACCCAACACTGCAGACGTCCCGAACAGAGAAACCCAGTTCTTTTTTGTGATCCGGCCCGGCGTAGGAGGCGGTAACTAATAGTCTTCACTGAAAACATCCATGGGACAGCTGAGAAAGTTCTTGGAAATACTCAGCGACGCCGCAGTAACTGGATCAGCGGAAGAACACTGTAGTTGTATATTCGTACGGATCGGGCCAGGTCCCGTAATGATGATTCTTTCCGCCAAATCGGAAGATAGTGACAAAGTCTGCCAGGGATGACCATAAGAAACACTCGACTGAAATAGCGACCTCCATGGAACAGGTCTCAAACGCTGGTGACACTCGAAAACTTTATGAACCTATCCACCAAGTTAGTGGTAAGCCTTCTGCACTGAATGACTCTATTCGCTACGTGAATGGCAGCTTTATTGCTGACAGCTCGGCCACAATCGAGCGCTGGCATGAGCACTTTGTGTACCATCTCAACTTCGATGTTCAACTTACCATACTTTTGTTCTCTGCAGCGGAGCCTCCCTCTCGCCGGCCAACACAATGTTATGCGATCCGCCACGTAACAACAAGGCGCTCGCAGAGAACGGTATACTCGCTGAAATCTTCAAGTTGTGTGTCGACACTGACGTCCTGGCTCCATGAGGTGACTTAGCAAGCGTGGAGAGGCGAGGTCGCTCCCGGTGACTGGGGCTTGGGCATCCTTGTGCCTATCATCAGAAAGGAAGATAAGACGCAAGAACTACCGCGACAGAGGTCTCATCGACGCTTCTGGGAAGATCCTCGTCATTGTCCTTCTCCGGCGATTCCAGACTGTGCGTGTCTCCAGGACGAGGCCTAACCACGCCATATCCCGTGCTGGACGTGGATTTGCGAACCAGATGTTCACGCTGAGGCCCATTCTCGAAATCCGCCACAGCTACCAGCGACCGATGACCGCCTGCTTTGCTGACTTCGCCACCGTGTTCGATTCCGTCTATCGTGAGTCGCTGTGGCGGAAAATGGCACTAGATGGTGTACCGCCAAAAGACCATCACCATGACCAGGGCCTTTTGCCGCCCTACCACCGCGCGAGTTCTGGTCCATAAAAACCTTTCCCAGCCGTCTGATATTCGGTTTGGACATTGACAGGTTTGTATCCTGTCGCCTATTCCGTTCATCTACGCTACTGATTGGATTTTCGAGAGGGCCGTACACGAAGATGACTGCTGTCCTGAGCATTAAGTACTTGCATTCTATAACTATTTTCTAAAGCGGATCAAGCGTCTAAGTCAGGTAATTGTTCCGCAGGCCACAATCCGACTTAACAAAAGTGACCAAGTCATTTGGATGTACGGCACAACCTAAATGGGCTAGGGAAATTGGCCCGTCAGCACAAGAAGTAGCGTCGTGCGCCGCAAATCAAGCACAAGTCAAATTAAGTATAAGTAAGTACAAATCAGGATAATGTCACGCCAAGATGTAAGGTGTGTGTAATAACTGGGGGACAGTACCGGACACGAAATCGCAGGTCGCCGGTCCGGCCTCGCCTCTCAACGAGCATTTCCTGTCTGCGCAATTTCCCTGTTACCCTGGCCTAAACTGCGTTCTTCTTAATTTGACAACAATCAATCAAGAACCCGGGCATATACGCCATAAGCTCCCTGAGCGGCATACCACCGAACAGGCGGATTGTCCGTGTGTATGAACTTGAAGTAAGACGCATAACCGCTCGCGAGGATCACAATTGCGAAAGGATGCGGTGCTCACGCAAGGTACACCGTGTTGAAATGGGCCAACGTTTAAATAGGTACCAACGTTTATCTTTTGATGATCTTGTGGAGACCCGTTTGTTTTCCGCGATTTGAGGTTAATCTGACGGACACTTTCGATGTTATTGCAGATAGAAGCGAACAGGCGAGTTCCCGGAAGCAGTTCAGAAGAAGAACACGCGGTCATTGGAATAAGAAGTTTATTGACCTGACGTTCCGGATCCTCACTCGAGCCCCTCATCAGAGACAGTCACGGTTAAGGGTAATAGTGGCACAACGACTGCAGTATTTATAGCACTTGGCTGCCTTGCGGCCACATGCGTACTAGAATTAACAGCTCTCGCGATTACCGCTGGGGGTCGTAATTAATGCGATGATTACTTGTCAGTCCGCGAACGTGTCGTTAATGGCTGCGATTTTGTCATCCGTGTTAGATGCTGGAGTGACGATCGCTCGGCAGATTGGCTCACTCTCAACGGGATTGTTGCTCGCCCGCGCCCTCCTCACCTGACTGATTTCCCTGCCCAGGGAAAATCTCAGCACGGAATACGGTAACGAGAGTTCATTGCGCTCACTAATGGATTGCTTGCCTCATGATTCGAGAAGCTCGCGGCTCACGCTGTTTTCAGCTATTGCGAGAATTTCAGCCTCTTGAGACTTGCAAATATGGTCGGGTTCCGTGGAATGAGCTGCAATCTGAGTACTGGCGTCTTTCCTCCTCACCGCTGCTGAGAGCGCAACCGTGCGCGTCCGGAGCAATTTCCCAGTTTCTCCGACGTAATTGCTCTGTCCGCAACTGCATCAGATCCAGTAAACGATTTCAGACGTTTCCCGTAGTAGCAGCGGGTTTTTCGGCCTCATTACTTGGCGCCTAATGGTTGCTTCCGGCCTGTGTGCGACCCCAACCCTAGGCGGAGTAGGAAGACGACTGACGACCTTCGATACGTTCCTCACGTACGGAAACACTCGCCAACATTCAGGACTCATTGGATTTGGTTTCTGGTTTCGTCTGCGTACGCACAGGTTGACAAAATTGAGCGGTAGCCATTGGCTCTCGGCACTTACCTAAGATATTGCAATTCAGCAACCTTGTCTTCCGTTTCTCTGCAGTGCGTCTCAACGCGTCTGTATAGCGCCCTTACGCAACTGCGTTTGTGACCGATCGGGTGGTTGCTGTTGAAATTCCGTACTTGTTCCGCGTTTGTCACTTTCCTGAATAACTTGATTTTAGGCCACCACAGTATTTGCAGTAACCCAGGACATCCAGAAAAGCCAGCTGGTTATTCTCTTCGTAAACTGAAAGCCGGGGAAGACGGAGCTGAGACGTTTTTTGAATGCCGACAGCTGATTCCGTTCGATGACGACGGAGGTAACATCCATATGTCGAGCCCAAACTCTCGGTCTGTGATGTTTGACAAATCGGCGACTCCAGCCGTTGTACGGCCGCCTCGGCTACGAGTTCTTAAATCGGTTCGAATGAGAATCCGAAACGTCAGGCCAATAATGTTCTTTTTCCAGTGATCGCTCGGTGCAGTATAAATGTTCGTTTAGGTTTCTCGTATTGTCGGTAATAATCATGGATAAGCCAAGCTTGTTATTCATGCTAAGCCATTGAATTGTTCATTTGAAATAGTCATGCATCGTTCATAAAAGTAGATTTTTAGACTCTACTGAAGTGGTAAGATGTCCGCGCGGGGAGCACAGTTATCTCTCCCCCTCTCTATCTCTCTCTCGTGTCTTCGGCATCTATTCGTGGGTCCCCTGAGAGAAATCCTGTTTGCTCTTTCGCCAATTCCATTTGTTTCTGTGCCTTTAAGTGCGAGGACGTTTCCTAACCTGCAGGACACAGGAATAGTGGTCCAGCTCTTCCGAGTTTGTCTTTATGAAAAACTGACCCTCGTTCATCGTCCTGGCCCTGTCCTCTGTGTGCTCTGTCTGTCTTCGTGTGAAGTCTTTTTCGTTCCCCCCAATGAGGGATTTAGAGGCCAAATCTGTCCTTGCGTCTTTATCAGATCTCAAATTTTGTCGTCTTTAGACAAGCGCTTGTAGGAACACCTATTAGGTTGAAGCATCTCTTAATGCTGTATCCTAAAAATTCCGTAGGGCCCGTCCTCTAGGATCCCCTAGATGTAAAACGGTCGGACGACATATGGTAGTCCACGAACCTCCGGGAGTGTGCACGTATATTTTCAAGCCCTCTTTCAGAGAGGAGAGATTGTCTAGGTGTGGTTTCCATACTGATTTGCAGATAATTTAACTATAAGAAACATATTAGCTGTCGGCTAAACCCCCTGCGCGAACCACAGAGGGAGAAACATTAGAGTTGAGGAAATTACCATTGTAAAATTCAAACGGCAATTTGGCGAGCATACGTCTGCTTCCGATAAATTCTCTCCAAGCCTGTAACTTTATATGGCTATCGAAATAATAAGTCGAAAGATACGGTTAAGCAGGTAATTATGCTGTAGCCCGGGTTTGAGTAGGTGGGGGGGAATGAAGCACCAAAATTCCAGTCAGCGCCGGACCTCAGTTGGGCGGCTTGATGGCTTTGGTTCGTAGCAACCTTGGGACCTGTAAGAAATTCTTCCGTGAGCAAAGGAAGATATTACTAACTAGTGTAGTCTGCATTTTTGCAGGCTATTTTGGATGCCATTGCAAATTTAGCCATATTTCATAAGGAGAAATCTTGCAGGAATCGTCGCGTACGCTCTGCTGAGAAATTGAATCGATTTCGGTTTTTTACTTGAACGTCTCTACGTGTGTAAATCTGATCACTTTTTGTACTTCTAAGACAGGTCCTGCATTTCGATATCTTTGTCCTTAAAACGGACCGTGAGCTGGGCGAGAAATAGGGGCTAGGTCAGATTTTGGCAAGCGCTATCGGAAATACACGGCCACTCCTACCGGGGTTCTTGTCGCTCTCCTTCGTTTTCCCTTGTGTAAAATCCTGGTCACTGTAGTTTGTGGATCAGAGGGTGTGGTGGTATGCCAGATGCGAGTTTACACCATGCCATCCATCCGCGCTCTCTCCCCCCTCCGATCGCCTCGATTCTGCCTTGGCACCAGGCCCAGGTGGGGGAGAAGAGAGTGTGGTAGGTGTCGCGCAAATTTACTATCACCACAGCTAACTCACGCGCAAGTCACCGTACCTGCTCCCACCTTGCTGAGGAGCGCACGGTGTACACCGTCGGCTACGATGGTCGAACTGTCATAACGAAGAGACCAGGACCTCCCTACGGTCCTAGTGAGCAGTAGCTAGCAACACCCTGAACTAACGGCACTGACATAGGCTTTATAGACGGTGCCGCTAAATACTTCGAACAGGGGTACCGAGGCATTCAGTTGCCATCATGAAGTGCCCAATATGACCAAGCTTAGTTCCGTTGGTCGTGGACAATGAACGTGAAACATTCTTTATCGGGTGAAGTCGACGCAGCGGGCACGTACAGTACTTCGGAAATGACCTTGGCCCGTCATATCCCACTTCAGCTCCTCCACAGTCCTCATCGCTCAAGATTCGTGACTGTAGGGAAAATTTTCTTACTAGCCTAGCAGATTCGATTTTCTATGAAAACTAGCACCATGAGCGCATACGCACTTCGGGACCATGGCTAAAATTCCATAAGTCGCACCGACTCGGAGGACAGTGCAGACGATCCGCCTCAGCATCCGACAGTGCGTGGACCAACTATCCGAGACGGTGACTTAAGTATCTCATAGACAGGTGGCATTGGTCGGCGGACGGGTCCCATGTCTGAGATACTTCCCACTAGCCGAAGACGCACTAGTATTTGGAGGCTTGATTTATTCGACACCTTGTCTCGCACGAGTTCCCAGCTTGCAGAGTACACCTCGAGACCGCCGAGGACAGGAGCCCTATCACCTACCCCTTAAATTATTCTCCATCTTCCGAGGCAGGTATTTCCAGTCGCGACCAGACGGGTGAGCTGAGTTATACGAACCGGCCGGTGCCCTTTTGGCTTCGCCTCTCGACAGCAGAGAAAACGAATGGGCAAAGCATTCTGCCACTTCGAGCCCGCCATCATTCCCGAACCCGTAGTCCAGTGACCAGAACCGCACAGCGGCACTGGCATCTTTAATGAAATAGCCACGTCCGGCATATGTCCTGTCCAAGTTAAGTTCTCAAGCTATACACCAAGGTCCAACAGACAGCTATTCAGTAGGCCAGATCCAGCCATGCAGCAAAAGCGAGGAAGCTAAGCCTTCCAACGATTTCGTAAGTTGGCCCAGTCGGCTCGGTAGGTGCCGGTGGCGCCGTCCCTCCTCGTTCATGACCTCACGAGCGAAGACGACTTAGGAAGTACAAGACAATTTAGACGCGACAATACAGACGCCCACACATTTGCGCAACCCCACCCACTTGGCCCTGTGCGTAACACCAGGGCAGTTAATCTACAATCGGAAATCTCCTGCTTTGAGGATGCTGGTCGCGCGTGGGAGTTTGCGGTACGGAGCACCGCGCACGTACAAGGCGTCGAAGGAAGAGATATAGTGGGTGCCTCCACGAGGGCATTCAGGAGCGGCGGTCGGACTAAAGCCACAAAGTGATCTTGCCCGCTGGAGAAAGAGGCAACTACTAGGCCCTTCATCTTGCCTCGCGAATCGCCCACCGGAGTGCCAATCACCGGGTCATCGTTCGTCGTCGACAGCTGATGTGACAGTTCGACCATCGGTTTCGATGATGTCCATCGTGTGCCCCACAGTTGCAGCAGCAATGGGAGCAAGGACGGTGACTTGCGCAGGGGTTTATAGTGCCGGTAGACTTGCGTAGCATCTACCTACACTCTCTCCTCCCCGCCCGAGCCCGGCTTCAAGACAGTTAAGAAGACCGGAGACGAGGGAGGCCGCAGGTGGATGGCTCGGACGACAGCTGATGTCCAATACGGCCTCGGAACCACGTTCTGCCACTCAACCTGGCGGTCCGCCACTGTAGAGTCCAGGTTCTCGCGCACCTGCTGCTGCTCGCGCCGGCTGCTCTCAACACAACCAATCTGTGCTTATGCTCTAACCTCACGAGCCCGCCCCTGACCTGGTTCGCGCGTATACCACCGCCGTCATAACCCCACGCGTCGGAGGCGACTTGAGGACGTTTACAACATCGTCCCGACATCTACAGCAACATAAAAAAGTGGTGGAGTCCTACACGAGTTGGTAGTTTATTTCAAGGAAGCAAACCTAAGGTTGTGGCTTGGATTAAGAACTTTCAGGGAATCCACCCAGTTGGGGGCGATCCGTGAGCATCTGGGTTCGGATCTCCTACCTTGCGCTGAGACGAACATAGGGTACGAAGGGCATCGCAGTGTAATTGTCCTCGCGAGACCCCTGAAACCAAGTTTGGCAAAAAGGCGTAAAGAGCGCCAAAGCGATCATCAGATAGCACCATTCAACACTAGTTTATGCCTGGGGCGGTTGGTAATCATCACTATCACTTGCCTTGCTTACGTAGAAAACTGGTATGCGCGCGCCTTACCGACGGGCGTCCGCCTGCAGAAAAAAAATGCGTTCAGACTGGCAGCATACATACGAATACGTGCATTAGAAGTTAGCGTACCTAAATAATGAACGACTTCCGTGCCGTTAACGAAGACGACCGATCGTCAGGCCAAAAGGGTGGCACGATGCAACAGCAGTCATCCGACCGGTGGCCGAGAAACCCTTCGGACGAAGTCTCAAAACAGACGGTCAGCAGCTAGTTCGGCCACTTGCCTTCCACGTCATACGGAGGGTGCTTCGCGAGGTGCCAAAATCCCATTGTTCACAACGGACCTGCCATCACGCAAAACTGAAATTACCAAAAGGTTGTTAGCAGCACTAAGTAAACTTTCAGACAAAACCATTCAACACTAGCTTATGCCTGGGGCGGTTGGCGATCATCCTTTAACTCACCCCATGAAGCAAGCGCACGACCCACACAATACTAACGACGAGGAGTGCTGCCGGGAGAGGATGCCACACAGCCAGCGCCGGCCCTTCGACTATGCCCCGGCGTGGCACGCACAACGGCGAGGTAGGCGCCAGACCACCTCGGAATCCCCGATGCACTAAAACAAAATTTCTGCGGTAGTTTTCTTCCAAGGTGGTTCACAGGACACGGGGTAGGGGATATGGTTTTCAGCAGCTAAAGTACTGGAGTACGTACTCCAGTATTGAATTGGGGGTTATACTGGTGTTGCCTAGGGAATAACGCAAACTGCAGGAAATATACTATGCAAAAATTTGTCATTAAGGCTCCGACGAATTTTATTTACGTATGTCTAGATCAACCGCGAAAATAACCTTAACCACAGAAAATCAGCCTATTTTGTAGCGGCCGGCAACATACAGGTTGGCACGTACACGGATAATAAGCATCTGCGGCCGATTTCCGATGCGTGAGAATACTGAAGACGGCTGGTAAGCATCACGCCGAATACACATGTCGAGTTCATAAGAAGAAGTAGCGTAAATATAATAAAATCACTCTAAGACAATAATCGTTTAAATGGACAATAAGGATACAATTCAAAATAGAAAGTGGTGTTGCATATACTTTAATCTCATATGGGGCGGGGAATGTTCTGTTGTGTCTGTTAAACCACCAGTGGGGAGTGCAGCGCCTAAGGACACTTCTCTTCACCTAAATAACCTGTTCAGCCAATGGTGCGTTACAATTGCATGGCCAACCCAAGTAGCCATGGTATGGTCTGCCGCTGATGGTCAGGCATGACGTTAAACCGAACCCGACTTTTGGGTGGGCCGATCACCAAGGCCAGCCTGTTCAATCACTGCTGCCGTAAGTGAAGAAAGAATTGTAACCGCAGATCTCCAGAGATGACAGGGAGGTGATATAATCGCCGAGGCAGCTACTGTTTTATTTTGTGTCATTTTCTGGCGTGTATTTTGATATATGTTGAGGGGTAGGACGCACCGGAGTAAACTGAAAGAATTAGTAGAGTGCGGGAATAAGTAGTACCGGAGCATTTATGAATAAAGTGTATATAAAGTGGGATAATTCTTTCGCAGACAGAAAGATTTATCCCGGGTATCTGTAGTAGTGAGAAGTGACAGGAAATTGACAGAGAAAAGATCAGATAAATAGAATAAGAAGGTGGATGTTGGGTTGTATAATGTCCTCATCGGTTGGTGCTACGCAAGCCTCCCTCGTGTAAAATAGAAGGTTACAGAGATGATCCTATAATGAGTTCAGTAGTGGCTATCTTAACCAGATTAGGGCAACAGCTGCCGGCTGAAGTGGACGTCGACTGGGAGCTTGGTAAGATTTCGTTGTCGCCGACTCCAGCTCTTCTACATGACGTACAAAAGACTGTTGTGCAAATGATAGTCTTAGAATTGGATGACGTGCAGCGCGTAGATACGCAGTCCCTCACGCAGCACAATCCGCAACAAAGACAATAAACCGCACTACTTAGTGGTTTCTAGCAGGCCATGTGAACGACAAACAAATGCCTCGATTACAAAAGAGACTCTTAGAAGTGCACGCAAACAAACGAAGCAGCTCTTTTGGGTGACGAAAAGCATTAAGAGCATCTAAGAGCGCCTCTGCGCAGTGGATTTATTATGATCTTAAAAGCCAAAGCGTTAGCCAAGTCTTCTGTGTCTTATTGAGCAGTCCTTTCTACAAGGCTCTTCGAACATAATTGGCGTTTCAGAAACCCAGGTGCGGAAATTTAGGACACTCAATGTTACAGCCAGTTAGTTAATACGACATATGCTGTAAAGGCACCAATTTAGAATAATTATTTGTGTGTCTCAGGGTCGGGGCATGGACGACTCTGCATTAAGAGTTTTATGTTGCATTTGATGATCACGTTCCCGTAAACAATAATTTTAACGGGGAAATCCTAAAAAGGGTCTCTGAGGTTCAAAACCACATAAGGTTATTTCCGCTACTTTGCTGTCCATTTACAATATGTCGATATATAGCCGTCCATACCAAGGGGATTAAATCGCTCGTATAAATACGCGAATTATGGGCCAGCTTCACAAAACGAGTCAAAAGGTATCTGGAGGTTCACCCAGTAGACATGGTGCCCGAGTCTGACGGAAAGTATGTTTTTGCTTTCTATGTACTTGACCGATTTGGCACAAGGACTCTATCCTTCCTTTCCGGGCAGGAACCGTTCGGTTCCAGTACGTAATGAAGTCCCTAGACCGGTCGGTTTCCATTTATTTTCGTTCAACAAATTTTAACTATAATAAACGATAACAAGACACCTATTACCAATTTGCCCTCACCTCTCAGTAACTACCTGAGTAAGGGTGCTCCGGTAATACAACAGTTGGGGGGTTACAGAGTGGGGACGCAGTAACTTGCTGTAAAATTGGACTGCAAACATAAATTGCGTATTTCGGATTGAATATAACTGATGCAGGTACGAAAATGTCGAGGAACGTACAACGAGACCCAGTAGTATCTCAGTACTGCACGAAGTCCCTGCCTTTCGATGTCGCCTCAATAGAGACAATTTAGGCAAAATCCATGCCTGCGTGACACAGCCATCCATGGCTAGTTGCCACAGACTCGACATGTGACTCCTGATAGAGCTGTCGACTGCTAACGTTATTGCAGCATAAATATATTTAAGCGACTTGCTGCATTCGATTGCTGGTGGCAGACGTATTGATTCAATTTCGAAGTAAGCGGCCACTGAGACTTCCGAAACGGAAAAAGGGATATTGCTTCTGGGTCTGTTTATTCACATTGGACTGTTATAGACTTCATTTAAAGGTCCGATACTCCCCACGCGACTGCACGTTTGACATTTTGAAAATATTTCCTTTAGAATCCCGCGACCGTTGGGGTGGATTCCACTGAGTCACCCTCGCAGTCTGTTACCTCACTTATGGAACGGACGACCGTCTTAACCTGTCATCTTTCTCGTGTTAAGACTGGATACAATGGCAAGCGCCGCGTGGAGACTACGTACAGTTGCTTCCCAGCATCCCAGTCCCATGTGCGGCGCTACTCATGTGTTCGCACGAACACTATTCAACCCAACTAACGCCCATCGTGGCCCAATCTGAGCTCAACTTTCTATCAAGCTTATATGAAGCCCAGTTATTTGTTGGGATTAAACCACCAACACCACCATCACCACTACCACATTCTTTACGAAGGTTCGTTTGATGACGAAAAGGACACGGATTTCCCTTTTGTCTGTCCTAACTCATTGAGAGGAGGGCTTAAAAAGCTACACAGTGCTAATCCCAAGGTCTGCGTATGTATGTATTAAAGGGCTTAGAGGCAGAGCTTTGATGACCCTATTTATGTACAACGTTTTCGCAGATTCACACTCAAAGTAAAGTTGCAAACATTTATAACGTGGTTGGATCGCGTACAATCACAATGATAGAGAAGCACATTTTTTCACTGTAGTAATGTATGTGAAGGTTGTATACGACAAAGCGTTTTACAGAGCTGGCTGTAAGTTGTCATGTTGCAAACGCCAGTTTTCTTCAAAAATCATGCAAGCAAGCTTTTTCTAAACAGGCTGATTGTGGAGGCCGTCACGATCTCACTTGGCAGCGAGTTCCATGGCCGGACAACCCGCTGGCTTAATGAAAACTTCCCACGGTCTTGCCGTGTGCGCCCACTCTTGACTTTGTAGGGATGACCGCGTAATTGGTCTGTAAAAGCAAATTCAAAAAATGTCCTTTGTTCTTAGAGAACAACCTTGGCCACGGACAATCCGGAATTTCCGCAGTGTAGACTGAAGTGTAGTTGCCTATAAGATAGAGAAAATGAGTCAAGCACATTTAGCTTCTCCTGATAAGACAAATGCTTTGGACCGTCGATCATCTTCGCTGCTCTGCGTAACACCTGTTCCAGTGAATCAATAACCTTCTTCATCCACGGTGAAGCTGCTGGCATTCCGTACTCCATATGGGGGCTTAAAAAGACGCCAAAAGTCTTTCGAAGAGTTCGGGAGGGAAGATTTTAAATGCAAGTGTGATCCAGTGTAAAATACTAGTTACATACCGGACCATCTTCCTGCAATGTTCTGATGGCAATATATTTATGGTCGTCCGCACAGCTAGATCTCTGTGTCTTCTTACAACTTCAATGGTTTCTATAGTTTCATTGCTTTCCTGTCCAAAACGTTTATTCAAAACTGGACCACTCCGCTGTCGACCATCCAGGCGCTGACCGAGACAGTTTTCAAAACTATAACCATCACTCTGTGGGATGTGACTGTAACAATTCGGCCTCTTCGTCAATCTCGTTGCCGCGGACCGATGGTGTTCCAGTGGGCACTCTAAAATCCGATGCAAATGCAATTTCCCATCTCTCTTATGCAAGATATTTAAGCTCGCTCTTCAAAGTGAAACCTATCCTACCTTGTGGGAGGAATCACACATTTTGATTATTCACAAGCATGGCCAATCTACGTCATTGGATTACTTTCGGCCAATAAGCGCCCTCCTCGCATCTTCGCAAATCTTATAGACATTGATCAAAGATAAGATGATGTGTCACTTAACAGAGAATAACCTACCGAACGCTGCACAGAATGGGTTCCTCAATGCTCGGTCTTGTAACACCTGTCAGTTCTCTTTCTTTGGGCATGTTCTCCAATCTACGAATAACGGTTTTGCCCTTTGCACAGTCTATTTCGATTTAACTTGGACTTTTCCTCGTGTAGACCGTGCTCTTCTTCTCTTGAAACTGTCCACTTTCGGAATGGGTGGCACACTTTTGAATTTTATATCGTCCTACCTGGGCGCTCGTACACAACTAGTCAGGATTTCCAGTGCCATCTCCAATCCCACGCGTATGAGGAATGGAGTCATTCAGGGTAGTGTACTCGGCACGCCTTAAATTTGCCTTTTTGTTAACGATGTACCCTATGTATTTCAGAATGATAAGCCCTTCATGTATGCTGATGATCTAAAAGTTACATACAGGTACAAGCCGGCAGATTGTGACATCAGGCTTGAGCTCCTAAAGAGCGACCTCCAGGCCTTTGCCCAGTGGTGTCGCGCATGACACTTTTCTCTTTCTTGGCATAAATGCTCAGTCGTGATGGTTGGCGACTACCACCAACCTCAACTAAGTATTGACGGTCACGACATAAATATTTTTGGGGCTGTTAAGGATATGGGTGTATCATATTCCAAGATTCTCAATCTCTCGGAGTACTGCGCCCTGACAGTCTCCAAAGCAGGTAGAACGACCGGACTTACCCTCTGAATCTCTAAAACCCGGGATATTAGGATGCGTCTTTAAAACATGTACGTTCGATCTGGCCTGGAATACTATTCGTTCTTATTTAGCCTCATGCGTGTCCCTGAGCGGAAGACATCTTGCACACCCCCGACGTAACGGTCACCATGAGGTCTTCTTATTCCTTCCTCTGGCCCGTACCGTTAAATGTCGTCGGTTCATTTCTGTAAATACAATTGCTATTTGGAATAAATTACCCACGAATGTGAAAACCCTGCAAAATTATCTTTTTGTTTAAGAGAACTATTACCGGCTTTTTGCGTTCAGAAAAGCTTCCACAAATTTTGGATGCTGAATCCACCGATCGACTATACCGGAGCGGTGACGTTTGTGGTCACCGATCTCTATGGTCGGTATTACCAAGGGCAACTTCTTTAGCCAACAGCGACAGCTATTCTTTGGTGCTCCTGTTTGGACCAGCCCAAACTTCATGAAATAAATTGGCGACTGATAATATCCAATTCAGTGCTACCCCTCCCCTTCCTGACTGTCGTCATTTCATGGGCAGCTGTTTTTTTCTCCTGAGCCCTCCAAACAATGTAAAACCACCATCAACTTAATTTTTTTGACGGGAGTTTTTTCACTGCTGGTCGGATTTGTGTTTAACGCTGCCCTGACAATGGCGGAAAACTGGTATTCAATGCTATTATTATTATTATTATAACATCGTCCCGTCAATATAATACCGATGTTTGGCAGATGCACTTCGGCCGGTGTTCAGGAGTCAGACCACGCATTTGGACACGTTAGACTTAAAAGTTATCTGTTCGACCAAACACTCAGTTACTCGATGTTCAATTGCAACTTTTTTGCGTCATCATCGCACTTGACTTCACTCTATATTTCTGCGTCGTCCGCAAATATGAGGGCCTCATAATCTAGTTCACTCATGCTGTCGTTAACATAAGTAAAGAAGAATACTGGACCTACAACAGAACCCTATGGGACACCAAATTCCACCTTTGCTCATTCCGAGGTAAAGTTACCAACGAACACTGTACTCTGGAGGACCGAAAACTCCTGATCCATTTAAACACTCTTCCTTGAATTCTTACATCGCAGATCTTCTGTAAAAGAAGCCTGTGCGGGATACTGCCAAAGGTCTTCTTGAAGTCAAAAATATGACATCTACTGAATATAAACCTTATCGGTAGCACTTGCCCATTGTCAGTGCGAGTAAAGGACACTCGTCAAGCAGGAGCGTATCGGACGAAAGCCATGTTGGACGTCACAAAATATTTTTGTTTTTTTAGGTGTTGTATTAAATGTCTTTTGATAATGCGTTCCATTATTTTACACCCGATGCATGTAAGACTGACGGAAACTCGTGCACCTCCTTTATAGATCGGAGTGATGAGTGCGCACTTCCATTCTTCTGAGAGCTCGTCTTCTTCAAATGACTTTTGAAATATTGCAGACAATGGCTTATACAGTTCACTAGCAAGTTCACGAACTGCTAGCGCGGGACTTCTATCTGGGTCAGTCGATTTGGAAGGTTTCAGCCGGAGTAGTTCGGCCCTAGATATGGTCGATGAAAAGAGTGGTTCATTAATTAAGGAGGGTAGGGAAGGGGTAGGAGGGTGAGGGGTACTAGGAGGAGAGGTTGGTTGACGAACGGATGGATAAGGAAATAAAGAATGAGGTTTGCGTGTGAAGACGGGCTGATAGAAGTTACGAAGGAGGGACGCTTTAAACTGGTCATCAGTCTCCACTTTTCCATCTGTTCAGTCACATTTAAAAGGCACCTTCCGCCAAGGAGGTTCTGATGATCATCCCCTTCTGCTCTCCCACTCATTTTGAGTCGCAGTGCGTTGCATTTCTCAAAAGTAAACTTTAGCGGCCTTTTTCGGACCGCTCACGTAGACGTTTAAGTCCTTATTGCAGAGGCCATTCACCATTTTCCCATTAATCGATCGCCACAACTTCCTGTCATCCGCAAACATGACTCCACTGCAATCCAGTCCATTCCTACAGTCGTTGGCATAAATTAAAATCAGTACTGGTCTGAATACAGAGTCCTGGGGACTCCATTCACAGCTGGCCCTGGCGTTGACTTTCCACTGCTAATGCACACAAACTGCGATCGGTCGATCGGTTTAGTGGGTTCCTCCTTATCTCAGGCTCTCCAACGTTGTAGGGTAACCGGCGGTGTGGAACACAATCAAAGGCTTTTTTGAAATCGATGTAAACGACGTCGACTGTTGTTCCTTTGTCCAACGAACGGGACCACCGTTCCATTGAATAGGGCATACTTGTTAAACAGGAGCGATGTCGTCGAACGCCTTGTTTGGAACTATAAAGGAAATTCTTTTCTTCAAGGGATTTTATGATGGCTTTTTGATTATTTTCCCCATAACATAGCCCCAAATGCACGTTAGGCTCGCCGGACGATAATTTTTTTGCACTTTTCCCAGATCCACCCTTGTGAATGGGATATATATTCGCCACCTTCCGATCAGAAGGGAGAATGACTGGGTGAAAGGACGACTGGAAAATGCGCAGAAGTGTTCTGGCGAGTTCGAAAGCCAGCTTCTTAAGAACTGTTGTCGGTGTTTGGTCCGGACCCAGAGACTTACACTCCTTAAGCGCTAGGATTTCCTTCTTCACATCTTCTTCTGGGGAGTCCATGCTTTCCATTATTTAATCGGTTGTTTCAGTAAGCAATCCAGCCCCGTCAAAGTACGCTTGATTGGTGAAAACATTTGAGGAAAGCCGGCTTAGGTTTTTGCCTTAGCGTCATTTCCGATAAGAGCCTCAATGTTTTCTCCTTTCAACGCTGGGACCGCCCCTTTGTTGCTTAATCTGCTGCTGATGTAACTAAAGAGTAATTTTGGCTTATGAACGGCCCGTTCCATAACTCGCGTTTCATAATCCTTCCGCGACCTGAGGGTATTCGATCTTACCTCGTCTCGCTTTCGACAAAACTGTCCATAAATTAAAGGTTGTTTTGTTCTTACATACCTTCTCCAAAAATCATTCTTCCGGCGTACCTCTTTCTTTATGTGTTGCGTTAACCAGACAGTACGACTTGCCTTTTGGACTTTCTTTATCGTACAGTTTTGATATATGAACTCCTTAGAGAGCTTTCTAATCAACAGCTGTCTATCCGACAAGAACGTCATGCCAGTTAACTACTGATGATTCACTTCTTATGATAACAAAATTTCCTCGCGAAAAATTCAAATGAGGCTCAATCTTATCCATTTGTTGGCTGTATAAATGTTATTCCCAAAGCGGCATGACATGGCCACTCTTACCGAGTGATGCCATGGGTATAAGTTCGCCAGCATTAATTGGGTCTATTGTAAGGACGAGGTCCAGACAATTTACCCATTAAGCCACTCATTCTGTTTGGAAACGTGACATTCTGAACAAGCAAGAGAGCAGTCGTTAGTTTTAAGAGCCCGAAATCACAGGAATTTCGCGAACCATTTACTAATAAATTGTTCCGACCGATTATCGATGAGTTGAAGTCTCCGGTTATCAATGTCTCATAGTTTTGCATAACCTCTTTATTTAACCCAAACATCGCCTCGTCAACCTCAAGATGTTGATTAGGCGGTCTGTATACGGTCAGGAAATTCAGATGAGGTGTGCCACACATCCTTAGTCTTAACCACATTTGTTCACAGTCATGGAAGCAACCAGTTTTATGTTCTGACGCGGTAATTCCTCTCTTGACGTAGATCGCTAGCACCCCTCCCTTTTATGCAGCCTGTCTTGGCGAAAAAATTGGTATTAATCGAGTACAGTTTTGGCATCC